CATAGACGCGGGTACTGTTATCGATTCACTTGAAGCACAATTCATGTGAAGGCTGCTAAATGGATATAGATTACATAGATTACATACGTGCAGCCGTATCTATCAAAATCGCTGTTGGCACGGTGCCAAACTCGTCCAAAATCGGCGTCCCATGCCGCGCAGAAGCAAATGTTTTTCCACAAAGGCTTTTTCAAATTATTTTACCTTGTGCCCTTAAGCGACTTGTGATGCACGAGTTGTCGCGGTTTGTACTTGCAAAATAGGGGTTGCGCGCTTGCAAAGTTTGTTCAACACCCATGCTCTGTATGAAGGAACAAAATAAATTGCGCACAAAGGATCTACTAAACAAGGGAATGACGCAAGGGCGACCAGAAAGTATTCAATGAAGATAATATCATGTCCAGAGGCCTTAGTGAGAAAGAATAGGAAACCAATTGGAAGAATGCAAGTGATTGGCACCATTGCTTGCACTGTGAGAGCCTGAAATAAAGCCAGTCAAAACTTTATCATTATCTGTGACTGTGGGCTAGTCATGCCCCCAATTCAGAAATAGTGAGTTTCATATAAAAATAGTAGGGTAGGGATAGTAAGTTAACACAAAAGTAAAGAAAGAAGCAAAAAAACACGCTCAAAGGGCCATAGAACCTTCAGAGTTCTTACTTGTTCTTGTTAGTTCTTTCACCTTATCATTTCAGCCTCACCACTCAAGATGGCGAGAGTTAGCAGCAGAACAACCACACCATCAGGTGGCAATTTAAAATGGAAGTTGGGCGTCGCCGTGGCCAGTGGGCGGAGCCGTGGCCTCGTCGCGAGCAGGTCGCTCGACCATCAGGTATTTTTGAGATGCGAAAGCAGTACACCTTCCGGCTCGCGGACAGGACTACCGTGCCCAAAGAAAGCGCCTGTGCACCAAATGAGCGCGGGCGTGTCTTCAAGAATTCCAAATCTCTATGCGTTCTTCTGTTCATGAGTGAGCGATTTCTAAATGTTCGATAGTGTTTATCGAAATTGTCAAGAGAGAGTCAAGCTGGAACAAATGGTATATTCAGGTTTATGGGCTTCGGTATTAGGTAGTTCGACCTCCCAAACACGAATATCACATCTGCTTGAGCCGCACCACAGGCGCCAGCGTCAAAACACCTGAAATCACTTGGTTCACCAAGGACGTCTTTTACCTCTGGATGAAGAAAAACATATTCGCTTGACACGTAACCTCCTGGCGCGGGCGCCAAAATATGCTAACCCACCAAAATTGCTGAGAAACTGTCCTTGGGGGTACTTTTACCTCCCGACCACAAATATCACATCCGTGTGAGGTGCTAAGAAAGTTAGGCTGCCTTTATACTTTGCGGCAGCGTAGCGTAGCGCAGCGTAACATAGCGCTTCCAGCGTTTCGCTAGCGTTTGCCAGCGGCGGGGCTAGAGAGTATAGAAGAGTAGGAGAGTACAAATGCTCTCGGCGGCGCTAGAGAGTATAGAAGAGGTAGGAAGAGTATGTTGTATCTCACTCTTCTAACTCTTAAGCTTGCCGCTGCAAGCGCTAGCGAAACGCTAGTGAAACGCTCGTGAAACGCTGGTAGCGAAAGATCGACCGCCAGACCTACGCATCCCGTGCCCTCCTTGGGTCGCTGGCGTATGCTACGGCTGCTGGGAAGCGCTTAGAGCGATTCTAGCCTTCGCCGCGACACCGCCGCGGTAGCTGATAGCGCTACGCTACGCTGCCGACAAATTATAAACGACAGCTTAGGGATGGATAAAGTGCGAAGAGGGGTTCACATAAAAGAGCAGAGTGCTTCTGCTCATCTGCTCCCTTCCCCCAAAATAGCGCCCTCAGTTGAGCCTCAATGAGGGAAGTATTACTATCCCGCAACAATTACCAAACCAGAAAGGGTGTCGCCTTTTCAGGGTCTCTCTAGCTGCCCTAGACCAAGGGACGCTCGTCACTAAACCACTGGGGTACCATGCTAAACGAACAAGTGACGAGTCGCTTATGACGTGGGCGTCAGGTGTTTTCAGACCTAACTGATTAAAACTACCTCTGAGAACAAATTTCCAGCGATTTCAGCTTGCTCGGCGTGTGTACTTGTGCGGGGCGCAAGAGTTTCGAGAGCAAGTTTTGAGCCAGTCTGTCTCCGTCGAAGAAGTCGATCAAAAAGCTGGGCTCTAATAAAAGCGATTAAGGGCAGTAGGTACATCACAATAGTGCGAAGTTTCTTGCCTCTTGACAGCGAATAATATTAGGCTTTCAAAAGCATGCAGCTGAAGTTGCACATACGTCCAACTCCATCGAGAATGATTACGCTGAGAATGCTGTTGGAGGTTCGCTTTCGCCAATAACGGACCCATCAGCTAGGATGCGTCATACTTTTCAGGCGTAGAACTAGGTCAAAGGCAAAGTCTGTCCGCACAAACCTGTTGGACCTCATCCTGCCGGTGTGTGGCTGCAGGTCCGCAGCTTGCAGTAACACATCACTTTCTTCGCTCAAATCGCACTCGAATGGGAGAAGTAGAGGTGCGCGGGTGCCTTCTCCCAAAGGGACACGGACAAGAGAATTGTAATTCGCGGGCCGTTTGACGGGCCGCGCACGGGCGGGGCGATGAGCGCGCTTTTGCTTAACTGCGTATTAAACTTCCCGATTAGAGGCAGCCGGTGCTTTCATGGTAGATGGGGCACGTCATTGTACGACACCATGGACCATTTCGGTTCTGACCTGCCTATTGTCGGCATCTAGTACCTGGAATCATCGTTATTTGCGGGGACGACGTCGCACGCGACGCCCACAGCGCGGCCAGTTACGATTCTCTTGTCACTCATCCTCTCCCAAGACTGCGCGCGCTGCCGCACAGCCAGACACAAGCCGAGCTGTAGCCAAACAAGCCGCTTGTCTGATGCGGTGAATGTACTGTCTTCTAGCAAAAATCAAATCTACGCATTTAGGGCTACGCAGATCCTGCTCAGGATTACATGTACATGTTAGCTGATTGAAATGGTGACTTACTTTGAGAAACATGTTGGAGCTCCTTTTCGACATTTGTGAATGCGTGTTGCTGACTGTAAGTGTCTTTAGAATGCGATGTTTCAGATACCATTGTAGAATCGGCGAGACGGCAGCAATGGCAAAATAAATCAGCGATATGGTGGCCTGCATAGGATCTTCTATTCCGTTGAAGCCTCCGAATTCTCCGTACCTAAATACCGATCACAAATGCGTGATCTAGAAATAGCGTTTATATATTTATCGGAAAACCTACTCCTCCAGATTATAAAAAGGGTGCTCGCGAATTGCATCTTCCATGATTTTGTCGAAGTGCAGAGTTCCCATATAAGGGAGGACCTGCAACAATATGGCATAGAACGCTTCATGCATCTTTGCCCTTTGTATGAAGGCGTAACGGCCGGCAAGAGCATACAGAACAGCAAAGAAGAGAAATTTGTACTGTAGTTCACTCAAACTCAAATATAATATCCGTGCAAGTGATTCGTAGACATCCTTGCAAAAGTATTCTGGCGTCTCTAGGATTATCCCGCTATCACGGCTTCACACTTGATAACGAAGGTGCTATGGTACTCCGAAGTGGTGATTCTGACGCCTTCCTGATTGTCCCGCCCACCGGAACTTAACAGGGAGGTCGTTCAGGACGTGGAGCGCTTTTTGAAAACGTTTTTTTGCATGGTGTGAGG